CCTATCACAGACAGCATTGTACCTCATGAATGATCTGGATATGTTCTTTTTGACAATGAATGCAACACCATTCCTCTTCAATTTGTTATTTCCGGCATAGTAAACCATGTGGTCATCAGATTCAAAATGGCCAATACCAGTCCATTTCAGCTCACTAATGCCTAAGATATCAATGTTTATGCATTACATTTCATTTTTGACAACTTCCAATTTTCTCAGATTCATACTTCGTACATTCCATTGTTCTGATTTTCAATGGATGTTTACAGCTGTTTCTCTTCATTTTGAGTTGTGCTGCATCAGCATATGAAGGTCCCATGGGCTTTTCTCCCCTAGGCTTTACTCCATTCACGTCATCACGGTCAACTCTACTTTGAGGAGGTAGCTCTTCCCCAGTCGCATTTTGAGTGCCTTCCAATCTGAGGGGTTAATTTTCCAGCACTATATCTAACAATGTTTGTCTGCTATTCATAAGGTTTTCAGTGACTAAATATTCGGAAGTAGTTCGTCACTCCTTCTTCTTAGTCTGTCTTTGTCTGGAAGCTCTTCTGAACCCTGTCCACCATGGGTGACCCTGTTTAAAATACCGGTGGCATAGCTTTCAGAATCACAGCAACTCACAAGCCACCACAGTATGACAAACTGACAGATGAATGGTAGAGCACTTACCATAGATATCCTTTATTCTTAGCTATCAGTATCTTCATTTGCCTTGGTCATGGTGTGCTGACTTCCCTCATATTGCGTATTGCCTTCCAGTTCACCAGAATTCACACCCATCTACTATCTAATGAGTGATTCTCCTTCCTTTTCATCCCCAACCTTGGTAGCCATCAAACAATATTGCTTTCTGTGTAAAAACCTATTCTTGACTTTTCGTAAGCGACATCATACAATATTTGTCCTTTTGTGATTGACTTCTTTCACTCAACATAATGTCCTCCTGATTTATTCATGTCATAGGTATTTTACAGACTCATTATTACTCTTTAGCATTATGTAGTATTCTGTTGTATGTATGTATCATATCACATTGTGTTTGTCCATTCATCTGTTGATGGACACTTGGGTTGTTTCTAGCACTTTGCTGTTGTGAACTTAGGTGTGCATCATACCTATTCATGTTACTGCTCTTATTTTGCTGAGATGTATACCTACCTAGGAGTGGAGTTGCTGGAACATATATTTCTATTTCTAGCTTTCTGAGGAAGCACCGTACTATTTGCCATAGTGGTTGTACCATTTAATATCCTTTCAGTAGTTCCAGTCGCCCCACAAGTTTGCCAGCATTTGTTATTTCTTTTCTTTTTTTGATCAGTGCCATTTTTGCAGGGGTGAGATGGTATCTCATTGTAGTTTTGATTTACTTCTCTCTAATGGTTAATGATTGTGAGTGTTAGCCGCATGAATAGAATGTCTTCTTTGATGAAGTGTCTCTTCATGTCCTTTACCTATCGTTGATTGGATTGTTTGTCTTTTTATTGTTGATGTGTTAAAGTTTTCTATATAATTTAGAGATCAGACTCTTGTCATATATGTCATTTCAAAACATTTTTCTCTGGACCATACATTCTCTTTTCACTCTTTTGGTAAATTCTTTAGATGTGTATACGATTCACTTTTTGGATGGTCCCAGTTATCTGGTTTATCTTTTTTGTTTGTGCATTTTCACTTAAGTTAATTTTGTTTAGCGTATTTCTATCATAGATTGGGAGCACAGTGGCTCTGTAGGATGAGCACTGGACTGTGAACCACGTGGCCGGTAGTTGGAGTCTACCAGCTGCTCCAAGGGAGAAAGATGAGGTAAACATTCACAGTCTTGGAAACCCTCTAGAGGATCGCTATGCATTTGAACCAACAGCAACGCCACAGATTAGGACCCCTGGCTTTGTCCCTATGTCATCTTCCAGGAACTTTATAATTTTAGGTTTAAAGTAGGTCATTGATTCATTTTTAGTTAGTTTTCATGTATGGTGTTTTTTGTGAGGTATGGATCCTGTTTGATATTTCTGCAAATGGATATCCAGTTAGTCAGTCTCTTCTGCATTGAATGGGTTTCAACACTTTGTCAAAGATCATCTGTCCATAACGGGATGAATTTACTTCTGGATTTTCAATTCTGTTTCACTATTCTATGTGTCTGTTGAAAACCAGGTTTGTGCCTTGGAGTGATGTGGTCAATAAGCACACTCTGAGGTACAGAAAAGAGAGTTTATAAGTTTTATTTATTAAGAGGTGACACGGCAGAGTATGTCTGCCAACCATGAATTCCTGCAGAGAGCTTAGTTGTTGTTAAGTACTGTCAAGTCGGTTCTGACTCATAGTAACCCTCTATAGGGTTTCCAAAGAGTGGCTGGTGAGTTTGAACCTTGTGGTTCACAGTCCAGTGCTGATTTTACAGAGTCACATCAGGAGTTCACAGAGAGCTTTGATTACAGGGTTTTTTATGTTTAGTAATAGTTAACAGTCACATCTACATATTCCATTTCCAAGGATAGAATTTTTTAATCTATGAAAGGAACAAAGAAAACTTGTTTAATTAGCTTTAAATTTTATCTAACAAAAGTTTCTGCTGTAGCTGTCAGTTTTAGTTACAGCCCAGGGGAGGCACTGACAGCTCCAGGTGCCTCTAGTTCTCCGACACTGAGCGCTTGTGTTACATGTTAGTATCTAGCATTCTCAGCACTAGGGTCTGGGAATTTTTATCTGAATAATAATTTTAAAAACTGAGTCATTAACTGAGCCATTAGAACAGTACCAGACTGTTTTGACCATCATTTGTGGTTGTTGTTAAGTGCTGTTGAGTCAGTTCCTACTCATAGCAACCCTGTATAGGGTTTCCAAGGTTTTAAATTGTCCTGGAAAAGAAAGCCTCATCTTTCTTCCACTCAACGGTGGGTGGGCTCAAACCGTGTACCTTGTGGTTCGCAGTCTGGTGTTTCTCAACTGCCGTGGCTATGTATTAAGTTCTGAGATCAGGAAATATAACACCTCTTACTCTGTTCTTTAAGGAGCTCTGGTAGTGTAGTGGTTACGAGTTGGGCTGCCCACCTCAAGGTCAGCAGTCCAAAACTACTAGTTGTTTGGTGGGAGAAAGATGAGACTTTCTGCTCCATACAGATTTATAGCTTCAGAAACCCTATGCAAGGTTGCTATGAGCTGGAACCAACTCCATGGCACACCACCACCACCACTCTGTTCTTTGGAGTCCTGGATAAAGCACTAGACTGCAAAGCTGGCGGTTCAAACTCACCAGTCGCTCCTTGGAAACCCTATACAGGGTCGCTATGCGCCGACTCAATGGCACTCAACAACAACTCTGTACTTTTTATTTAATAATGTTTTAACTTTTGTGGTCATTATTTGTTTTTCAAAAACAAAATGCTTTTACATAGAAACCATGAGTATTATAGCAAAACAATAAAATAATAAAGAAGTATATAAAGTAGAATGTAGAAACCCCTTTCCCTGTAATCTCTCCAACAATACCCTTATCCTGTCCCCATAGCTGTGAAGAATTTAAAATCTATACTTTCAGAATTTTGAAACACACATATGTGTGTATGTATGTACACATACACACACTCACACATATATAAGTAAGAAGTGATTTATATTTTACAAGCTGTTTTTACTCAATAGTAACTAGATCATGGACCTTCTTCTGTTCACATATAAGACCATGTGGCTAATATGTTCTTGTTAATTGCTGTCCAGTCAGTTCCTACTTGAGGCTGGGAATGGTGTTAATGGAAGGATTTCTGATGTCTTACAGGCGATGGGCAGCGTCCTGAGTGGACATTTTATCCAAGGTTTAGCAGTAACATCCACACCTACCATGTTGGAAAGCAGTGCTTCTTTAATGGGGTCTTCCTTGGCAACAGGAGGTCTCTATCAGAGTGGACGGTGGCCAAGTGTCTCGGGAGGAAGAAATATGGTAATGTTTGCTTCCTGAGCTTTGACACCACAGTGCCCCCAAGTACTCTTCAGTCAGGACACTGCAGGACCAGCATTCCCGAGGCAGGCTGGGGAGCAGCCTTGTAGGGTTGCTCTGTCATCCCAGTGCACTCAGGCAAATAATAAAGTGAAGGAGACAGTCAGTAGGCTACGCTTTTTGGCAAAGAACTCATAGCATATGCTGAGCCACATTTTTGGTTTTCTCTGAATTTTATAAAATGCTAATGTGACATTTAAGTCATCTGATAAGTTGTCTCAGATACTTATTAATAGAAGCATTCATGGAATCCAAATAAAAAATGATTTATATTTCAATTACATGCTGTCTATCATGTGCATTTAAATTATATCTTGTATTCTGCACAAGGAAACTATTCTATAGATCTTAGCCTGAAGTGCATGTTGTTATTTCATAGCATATCCAAAGATAATTATACACACACACACACACACACACACACACACACATATGAAGGGGCTTCAAAAATTTCATGGACAATTCCATTATCTTCTAATTCAATCTTTCCATGAACTGTTTGGAATATATATATGTTGTTGTTGTTGTTGTTATGCGCTGTGGAGTTGGTTCTGACTCATAGCGACCCTACACAGGGCTTCCAAGGCTGTAAATCTTTACAGGAGCAGACCGCCTCATCTTTCTCCCACGGAACTGCTGGTAGTTTCAAACTGCTGACCTTGCGGCTCGCAGCCTGATTCATAACCACTACGCTACCAGAGCTCTCTCTCTCTCTCTCTCTATATATAT